CATTTATTCATTTATTTATTCTTTTATTTATTTAACCAGAAACAAGTTGGTTGTCATTTTAGACAGTTTGCTTACCATTGCTTTAGCATGATCTGTGTCATAGTTATTTAATGGTTTCCAAAGAGGGCCCCTTCACGTTMGCCTGCTCTGCCTGTTGGGGCTAATGAGAATGAACTGATGGGGGTAGGATAAGGGATCTCATGGGAGCTCTGGCTGCTCTTATGGGTCAAACAGTACAATGAAGGAGGTGCTATAAAGTCTGACAAACAACCCCACACAGGAAAACAGTTAAAAACACTTGTATGGTTCGTTTTCCAAAAACTTGCATATAAGGACGAATGCATAAAAGAGGATGCAAAGRCCATTGCTAACAAATCTACAAGAAGCTACCTGTAGATTAGAGTTTGAATCTGCACACGTTGGTGCCCAGAGTTTGAAGAAGCCATGGCCATTGCATGGACCTCTGCACTGAAGGCAATTTCCTGCAGCAGCAGGACGACAGACTTTGGCAGAGCCCCCTCTCAGTGGCCTGAGGCACAAGATTAGTTTAGCYTCGCTGCTACGCAGGGCGGAGGGAAACCTTAGTTGTCCAGCCCCACTCTGCTTGGCCTCTTCTTGTCTGGCACTCGTGGCCAGCCCCAAATCTGCCTGCTGGGGCCCCCCCCGTTCTTCTTCACTGCTGGAATATGCACATAAGCCACCGCCTGAAGACCTCTGTAAGCTGTGGAGAGGCCAGCAGAGCTWAGGTATAATGGAACTGCATCTGTGTTTTTATTTTGTTTTTATTTTTTACTCGTCCTATTTGTAAGATGATCGTTTTTCAAAGTACAAGAATTTTCTTTTAAAACRACAAACAACATATATTTTCTTCCCACTATGCCAGTTTTGGTTCTGGTTCTGGCAGTTGTGGAAGAGGTTTCCTGACCAAATGATATGTTTGACACTTATAGAAGTTGAATATGCAGCTACAATAACATTAAGCTTCACCGGAAAAACAAAAGTTGCTGGCCTCTGCAGTACTTTGTAAAAAAAAAGGTTGCACTTGTACTTGAATGATTGAAACCATTTTTAAAGTCAGCAAAATCAATTATGGACAGAAAAAAATGATGTAAAACTTCAAAATAAACTTTTGTTAAAATTGTTTTTAACTGATACAATATAATACAGTACAATACAGTATGATGCAGTACAAAATGTTATAGTACAAAATGATACAATGCAATATAAAATGATWTATACAATACAATATTATACAAAACAGTACTGTTCTAGCTACCTCCACACAACATTCACAACAGTTCTATACAACTAAATTGCATAGGGGCCAGATGTGGTATGGGGGTTGACATTTCTCAGTGAGGGTAGGGAAACACTGCATTATCTAAAGCAGGGGTGTCAAACTCCWGTCCTCGAGGGCCGCTATCCTGCATGTTTTAGAGGTTTTCTTGCTCCAACACACCTGATTTTGATCGCTGGGTGATTAACAGGCTTCTGCCCAATTTGAAGAGTTTATTCAATCACTGAATCAGGTGTGTTGGA